CTACATCCATTAAGACTGCGGTGACGTAAGTGGTCGAATGCCGCCCAAGAGATCGAACCACGCCGTCAGGCGGCCCGACCCGTGTTCACGACTTGACCCGAGCGCCCCTCCCTCCCCCTGAGCAGGCCGTGACCGGGCTCCGCTCTGCCGCAGCCCCGGTGCAGTTCCGCTGCGAAACCGGCGCCGTCTGGATGGAGGACTGCAACGAGTGCCGCTGCCAGAGCGGCAACCACGTGGTGTGCGCGCACCTGGCCTGCCTGCGCGACGGCGGCCGGGACGCGGCCGAGGCGGCCGGCGAGCCCAACACCGTCTGCTACCAGGGCGCCTGCGCGGCCGGCTGCGACACGCGGGTGGACGACGGCGGCTGCCACATCTGCGACTGCGATCCGGGCGGCGGCGACGCGCGCGCGCGCGCCGCGCCCGGCGCTGAGCCGCCGCGCCGCTGGGGCTTTCTGACGGTGGCGCGCAGCCTGGACGCCCGGCCGTGACCCGGCCGCCTCGGCCCGCTCACCGGCGCCCGCGGCGCGCGGGGTCACGTGGCGTCACGCCCTCGCCTTAGGACCGGTGTCATCGCTGCCAAATGGACGTATTATCGACTTCTGTATTTAAAGTAATCGGGTGTTAGCGCGCGTGCTTCATGGCGCTGGAGGCTGGTCCATTCATACCGTTCTACCAGTGCAATAAATGGTGAAGCAACGGTTAATGAGTACCCAGTGACGCCAATTTAGTTGTCACGTCCCGGGCGATTCATCGTACGCAGAAAACGAAAGTGCAGGCTTAGGCCATTGCCTTCGCGGAGGCCAGACGGTGCTCCAAGTCAAACACGAGCGCGAAGGTCGTTGTCAGGAGAGCGCCGCAACTCACGAAACTTCGTGTGGTCAAAACCGTGACCGTGACCGTTAACCTTATGCTCCGGTCCGGTCGAAGCCGCAAGTCGTGAGTGAAAGGCATCAGCCGACACTGAATACACGGCTTTATTACTTCAGCCTCTGGAACACGCTAGCCTACTGTGACGATGCACGCACACAACACAACTGTCCTACTTCGGCGCAACCTAGTTCTCGCGAGCGACAAATGCATGACTGAAAAGTTACGCACGAGACCAGTCTTAATAAATACACCATGTTGTAAACAGCACCAGTCGCAAGCCCACTTCGACGGACTCCTCGGGGCGCCCGGCCGTCGCTGGTGCTCGCCTCTGTGCAGTGGAGCAGAACACACGCGGGCGTGTCGCCACGCGCCAGCAGCGGCCGTACAAAATGACGGTAAACATCGATGCTCCGTTGCCACGAAAAAGCGCTGGCGCCTACACTAACGATTCCACAAGGTTAATTGACGGCAGCTACCGCCGCAAAAAGCCGTCGGCAAAACAACGCTAGCGATAATACTGTGCGAGCCGGCCGCCGTGCGCGGGGTTGCATCGCCACATCTTTGGTCTAACGGGGAACACGGCCGCGTGGGGGCGGCACCGGGCGCCTCCTGCGTCACCTAACACGAACTGCTCTTGTAGTCGGAGGTGTCGGAGACGGCGGCGGCGCTGGTCACGAGCGCCGCGGACCGCGCCGGGCAGAGCGGCCCCGACCTGCCGGCCGACAGGTCAGGGTCAGGTCCAGTCACAGCGGGCTCGCGGCCGGGCGCCGGCCACGCTAGGCTAGAAAAAGCCCAGTGCGTCTGGTGGCATGCTGTCTCCACCGCAAGAAAGCGCAGTGATTCACAAGGAGTTCCCCTGCTAACAATGCACTCCTCTGACGCTACCAGTGTCAGTCGGCTTCAGCTAATCATGCCTGGAACTTTTGCTTGGAACAGTGACTGGCAGGTTAAAGTCACGCAAAGTGACGCAATCACTTCATAATCTTGACGTCAACGCTTATCAGATCTGCATGCTTTTGACCAGTCGAACCCCGGCCCACTGCTGTGCGTCGGTCGTGCGCCGCGGCATCTCTGACGTCACCGTGACGTCACCGCTCACCTGTCCTGCAGCGAGGCCAGCGCGCTATGCAGCTGATTGTTGGCGGCGTTCAGCTCCTGGATACGCATGTGCTGCGCCTCGATCAGCCGCTCCTTCTGGGTCAGCACGCTGGTCAGCTGGCTCTGCTCCTGACGCAGCTCGTCCTCCACCAGCGATAGCCTGCCAGGAGGCGCGACGTTATGTCAGACACTGTACAGTCACGTGACTCTGAGTCGGTCAGCTCAGCATCTGAATGATGTCAGCGACTGTAGAGCAGCGCAGCATGGCCCCTAAGCATAAAAGCTGCGCACCTCGGAGAGGATTCCAGGAACTTGTCACCGGGAGAGCACGGTTCTGGTTATTCGGCAGGGACAACAGGTCCGGCCCTGATCACCCAGCAGGGACAGCAGGGCCCGGCTTTGATCACCCAGCAGGGACAGCAGGGCGCGGCTGTGATCACCCAGCAGGGACAGCAGGGCGCGGCTCCGGTCACTCAGCAGGGACAGCAGGGCGCGGCTCTGGTCACCCAGCAGGGACAGCAGGGCCCGGCTCTGATCACGCAGCAGGGACAGCAGGGCACCAACGCCTCTCGGCGAGGCGTTACTGTAACAACACCTCCACTTCTTTTCCACCCATGACAGCGCACGACTCTCCCGTGTGGTAGCCAAACGAGTTGCGGGAGCGTAATAAGAATCCACCTTCAACACCAACATGACGGGCAGGCAGGCAGACCCACCTGTTGAGGATCTCCGAGACTTGTCCGGGGGTCGGCGGGCAGATGTGAGCCACCGCCGACTTGCGCGAGGCCTCGTTCAGGCGACTGTGCAGCTGCTCCATCTGCTGGTGCAGCTGCTGGATCTCGTCCTCGTACTGCGACGCCAGCAGCTCGGGTCAACCACCAGCAGCTCGGGTCAACCGCCAGCAGCTCGGGTCAACCTCCAGCAGCTCGGGTCAACCGCCAGCAGCTCGGGTCAACCGCCAAGCTTCGGCCTTCCCGTCCGGACATCCCCACCGACTAACGAGACTTTCACTCGGCCATTGTTCTGCAGCTGTGTTGAGGCCTCAACGGTGCGGTGATGCGACTTATTCCGGACGGCCCCAATGTGTCAGGGCAGTTGTTTGGCAGATAATCGCGTAACAATGTGTCCCTTGGAGCTGGCGGGATGTGGCCTCAATTCATGTGCAACAAGATAAAAGGTGCATACGCATCAGGCGGGACATGATTGCTGCCATTGTATAACCAGGAGCTTAAATGGCCTGTGGTTGACGATGTTTTTTTTATAAACGACAGCCCTACTTATCAAAGCCAACACTTGGCAGAGAGGTCCAGACAGTGCAATTCACTTACTTAAATGTTTTTTTGTATCGACTTGATAACAGACACATCGGCCCATAACGACCCTTTCAGGGCCGAGAGATTAGGAGAAAGGTGAGTAATGGATCAAAACGTAAACCCCCACTCATGAGCCTTATCCCAAGCAGGGGCCCATAGCCTAGGTTTACGTGCGGGCGCTCCGGAGCGGTTGCGACAGGGCGGGACTTACATGTTCAAGGCTGACGACCGCGGCTGGCTCCGGAGAGACGGGGCGTGGCGAGGACTTAGGATGAAGGGATTAAGGTGAGAGGGCTTTCTTGCACAGGGTCAGATTGCTCAGTGATTTCACTTTGATTGTCGAACTCTGTGTTATGCATAGGGCACATGTGCAATCACTGCACTAGCCCTACACTACACGAACTACGCTCTCCCAACGTATCTCAGCAGCATCGAACACCTCACCTCCTCGAACGACTTTTCGACAAGCCGGCTGCGGCGCGCCTTGCTCTTCAAGCGTGGCTCGCGGCCCGGACGAGCCTGGTCGCTGCTCTCGCTGTCACTGTCGTGCTGCTGCTGCCGCCTGGTGGCCAGCGCGTCAGTCGCAGTTCGCCGGCCGGCCTTGGGGCGGCGCGCGCGAACCAGCTGCTCGGGCGAGCCCGGCGCCGGCGCCGGCGGTGGCGGAGGCGGCGGCGCCGCGCGCGGATTGGTTCGCGGCGCGGCCACGTGGCGGCGCTCTCGCGGCGGCGAGGGCGAACTGCTGGAGGAGCGAGGCGGCGCGCGGCCGGCAGACGCTGCCACCACGGAGGGCGCCATCACCAGCTGCACGTCCTCCATGCTGTGTGACGAGCTCAGTGAGCTGCTTGGAGAGTACCGCGTCACCCTGCCGGAGCACGTCAATGTCAGTACAGCGGACCGCAACTCTGCCGTGAATTGTAGATGAATTGTGTGTGGGAAAAATGGGTCAATCGATACTCAAGTTCGACGGCTGCGAGTTGGGAACGTTCGAGCCCTTGTCACTGTGCTTGAATTGATGCCCGACATTCCACTGCGTGAGACATTAGCCTTGGCCTTGCTCTGGGTTTTTTACGCCATACGCTACCATCCTTGGATGCAAAGAATATCAATAAGACACTGCAGCTGGTTTTATTGGAAATCGCTGATCCTCGCAAACTATTTCACACAATCTTGCTGACATGCGTGGCAGTTTGAACAAAAAACAAAACTATCAGCCTGACCGATCACGCTGTCGTGCTGCCTTGCACCATAGTACTCGCCCAACACAAAGTAATACAAACATCCCCTCACCTGACGGAATGCAGCTGGCCATTCGCCGCCTTCAACTGATACATGGGGTTATTGAAGGCGAGTGGCGGGTGCTGCTGCTGCTGTTGCTGCTGCTGACGCTGGCGCTGCTGCAGAAGCTGCATCTGCTGACCGCTGCCGATCACCGGGTCGACGGGACTCGAGCTCTGGCTGTAGGCGAAGCTCTGGTAGCCGCTGGAGGCCACGTTCGAGAGCTGCGAGATGGAGATCTGCGAGCCCTTGACGTTGTGCTCCAGCTCGCCAGACGACTGCTCGGCCGGCTCCTCCTCGGCGCGCAGGCGGCGCCGGCCGGCCGCCGCCGCCGCGTTGCCGCCGCCGTTGTTGTTGACGCCGCCGCCGCCGGCCGTGTAGTGGCCGGCGTGGTTGTGGAAGTGCTGATGGTGGGCGGCGGAGGGCGCGCGGCCGGCCGCCAGC